TTTTTTATTTGCGTTATTGTACTAATATATATGTTGTGATTCTTAAAATTATATGTTAAATATTTGAGCGCTACGTCTGGCTTGGCTCTTTAGCTCCTCTTCTCTATTTCAAATTTTATAATAATTTATTTACAATACTAACCAGCTATATGAGAAGGCGAAGACTCGATTTCAGCTGTAGCGAAAGAAGAACCAGCTATATGAGAAGGCAAAAACTCGATTTCAGTTGTAGCGGAAGAAGAACCAGCTATATGAGAAGGCGAAAACTCGATTTCAGTTGTAGCGGAAGAAGAACCAGCTGTATGAGAAGGCGAAGGCTCGATTTCAGTTGTAGCAGAAGAAGAACCAGCTGTATGAGAAGGCAAAGGCTCGATTTCAGCTATAGCTACGGAAGAAGCAGAATCAGCTGTATGATGTTCTATGCTTTTTTTAACACGTTTTGTTTCTTGATTTTGTATTCTTTCTTGATTCTCTGATTGTTCTTCCAGCAACTATATAATAAAATATTACTTATCACAATATTATACAGTACATATAAACTCAACTTTTTACTCATTATACATACGTATGGAACGGCATCTTTTTTCAATTTACGAATCGAGTAATTTTGTTCATAATTGTCTTCTCTAAAATGAGCAGAACAAACAGCTGCTGTTTTTCGGGGAATATAATTTTTTAAATTTATGGCTTCAAGCCACTTAATTTTTCTTTCAATATTCTGTGGCAATCTAGAAAAATATATATATATATTACTTCAAATGTAACTGTTTTTAAACGTTATTGATAAAATTATAATAAATGTAGATTATAACCTTTCAAATTTACTTACAAATGAAACGAAAACTTTTTATTTTTAGCTTCTTCCATTTCTTGTTTGTAATTCTTTTTTACGCTGCGATTTTTGCATCCAACAACAATGCAACAACTCATGATTATTTAATAATGGTTAGAAATAATAACGTATTTAGCGAAATCGATACGTATTTTACACGTGAGAGACGCAGGTTACATGATAGTTGTGGAACCATCTGCTCTCTGCACGACTGCACGCGTCGAATATTACCGAACGTAACCGAAATGTACCGAAGTCATTGGTTTGTCGAAGTACCTCCCTCACCTCGATTTCGCTACCCCCCTCGCCTATCTAACCCGCAAATGCTCCGTCCATGTATTCCTACGTCAATGGGTCAAACGCCTATGCTCCGAAGAACATAGGCGTCCGATGGAGATACCACACAGAAGACTTTAGGCGCTATCCGCAAAACGCGGAGTCACGCCTGCAGCCGTGTGCGGCAGCCCGCGCCCGACACCCTCGCCCGAGCCCGCTTCACGTCCGCGGCGCCCGCCACTCGCCGGCCCGTCTTCACACACTATACTTACAGGTTCGCTGGCAATGGCGGCTCCACCGATGCACTGGGCACTTGTGTCACTTGTCACTTCGCACTCTATGTTACTAACGACGACTCACGACCATGGTGGAAGGGATAACATGGTGTGTGCAGTTCAGCTAAACCACGCCCACTTTTGCTCGCCGACAGCCGCTGGGGGGCAGGTTCACCAACTGTGAAGAGTAAAATTATTTAACGTTGGCAAGTTGGTCGCGCTGAGTCTGCTGTCCTTGTTTCACGCGTTCCCTTAGAGCATCGGAATCTCTCTTTCTATCGTCTTTCCGTCGAAAGAGGTTACGGACTACTCTGGTGACAGGTCGGCTTACTCCGCTTACTCCGTTTCCACGTGGCAATAGGCAAAAGCGGCAGGATATTTTCAGTAGTATATTACGAAAAATCACAATACAATGGGAAAGTATTGCATTGTGAGTGATTGCAAATCCGCTCAATATAGTGCGAAACGTGTAAATTTTTTCCTATTACCACAAAACGTAATTTTACGCGAAGCTTGGTTGCAAAGAATCAAAGGGAATCGCATTTATCTCAATGAAAAATATGGTAAGTTCATTCTCTATTATTATTAACTTTAAGTATATAAAATGTCAAGTGTCAATTACAAAGCATTACTTATAAATTACATTTCGTTTTATTTAGCAACGGTGTGTTCGTTGCATTTTACTGAGGATTCGTTTATTGTACCAAAGAAAAAATCTCATGTTACGGAGGAAAAAAAAAGACGACGTCTTAAACAAACTGCTGTACCAACTTTATTTTTAACACCAACAGAGAGCAGATATGTTAATTGTTAGTAATAGTTTACAATTGGAGGTATTGAGGGAACTCGACAACAAAAAAACGTTTATCAATTGCTTATGCATGGTTTCATGCGCAATGTGCAGGGGTCAATAAAATAAGTGATATAACTTAAAATGTTGTAAAATGAGAAATATAAAATAAAATCTATACACTTTTATATAATTAAATATTGCAGGGGACAATAAAACACTTATACGACTCATTTGAAACATCCAAAAAAATAATATAGATTCCACAAATATATTTCAAATCTTATATCAGAAATAAATCAGAAAATATTATTTACAATAATAAATACAGAATAATTTTAAATTGTTTTATTTAAAATACATATTTTAAATGTTATTTAAAATATGATCGACCCCTGAAAACGTGCTATTATTGAGTGTTAATTGTTCAGTTTGATAAGATCAAAAATAAGTGAGAAATAAGACCAACGCATTTTTGAACATATTTCAGGGCAAATCCAGTGAACATGGATTTTCAAATTATTCGTCGACAATTTCCACTACTGTGTAATCCAGGTACAAGCAGAGATGTAGTCGACATAAATGCAGCGCCGAGTAAGTTTAAATTCTTTTCACACTAAATTAAATTACAGTCAATGATTTACAAAATAAATGTATAGTTGTTAAAAGTTGCATGAACGGAAAACTAACTCAGTTTAAACTTGCGTTAAGATTAAATTAACTAAGGTGAAATGAAAAATGTTGAAATACATCATTTATATTAAATAAAATGTCGTTATTTGTAAAAATAACATTACTCGAAACAAAATTTGCAGTATAAATGAAATCAATTTTATATATTATTTTTAAAATAAGTTAAGATGAAATAACGGAATATTTTTGTTATATAAAAATGTTTTTACTTTTAAATAGATTATTTTTTAATTTATAAAAAAAGTAATACGTTAGTGTATATATATTTGTAAATTAATATTTGATATTTAAAGTTAACTTTTGTTTAAATGTAACTTAATTCAATTAAAAGTTAATATCTATTTAATTTCATCATTTAACTTTTAACTTCTCAAGTAGGTACTTCCCTACCTGGCGCTAATGAAACAACCGGCAGTCATATGGATTGTGATGTTACTGCTGACGCGAACATAGTGACAACACCAACAATGAGCTCTAAAAGGTACAATGAAAAGTGAATCATATTCTATTTAATGTTTTTTCTGAATCTCCATATACTCTTACGTTATTTTTCGACTGTGCTCGCATATAATGTTCAATTATTATGTCATTTCTCTATTTGCATGACTTAAATGTTAATATTATATTCTGTTATGTTTATATAGTAATCCGTGGTTGGACGAATCGTACCGCGTTATTCGTACACCACCAAGGCTATTGTACGAACCGAAGAAATTGAGTTTTACGTGTCCTAAAAGGTACGTTATGCATGTGCAGTCTTCAAAGTAGGATTACTTTACATTTGAAACATAATAATAAATTCAACTATTTCTGATTTTTTTAATAGATCTGTGACATGTGAGCCATACGCTTATCACAGAAGAGCGAGCGCTTTAAGGAGGCACAATAAACGTTCTCCGTATGTATTATTTCATTTTGCGAAAATTGCTATATTATATAAAAAAACACTTCCTGTATTTAATCTTTATTTCGATTTACAGTTCGAAAGTTCACAAACGACATCGTAAGGTGGCTTCGAAAAGCGATGCGACTTCCCCAGAAAGAGCATATAATAGCTATGAAGATACTCCTTTGTCGACACGTAGACAACGGTAAGTTTTTTTCGCATGTAGTTTTTATATTTTAGAAAAAAAGATTTTAAACACATTACAAGAAAAATAACTATTAAGAAATATTTATACAAACATAAAAATAGATCGAATTAACAAATATATAACAATAAAAAATGTAATTACATAAATAAAAACACAAATTTATTACATATTAACTTCAGCTTACAACAAACACATAAATTAATCAATAATAAATTTACAATGAAATATATGTAATTTCAACAGTGGTTGCATCTGCATCATCCTAAATCAATTATATGATCTTAAATATCGTAATATAATATTTTTCTTTCCAGGTTTTTCATGGCAAATTGTACGGAAAGCAGTGGCCCAACATCGGCTCGAATGGATGTTGTGGAAGAGGAGAACGTACCATTACTTAAGGCACAATTGGATCATTATCGTTCTGTACACAATTTTCGCATGCGAAATTTAACGGATTTCGCAATGCAATCACCGGGAAGCCACAAAAATCTAGAAGCAGAGAACGAGGCACTGAAGCACCAATTGCAAGACAAAGACGAGCAACTGCAAAACATTTCAATTAAAATGAACAAGATTTCAACTGAAAAGGAAGAAATGCTGCAATTAGTTAAGAGTCTTCAATCGCAATTGACGATCGCTCTTGAGGACAAGAAGACTAGCGAAGACGCAAAAGAACAGTTCGGTATAGAACTATTGCAACCGTACTTCACGGAAGGGCAGATACGGTGCATTATGCAGAAAAAGAAATGGGTTCAATGGTCCATCGATGACTACGCTGCAGCTATTTCAATTCGTAGCGTTAGTGCCAAAGGTTACCGCTATTTTCGAACGAAATTAAATTACCCTTTACCATCGCTAGCGTCATTAAGAAGATGGGCATTGAAAAAATTTAACATCGAAGAAGAATTCTTAAATGACGTTCTAGTTGTAATGCGAGAGAAAGGCAAAGATATGTCATCGGTGGAGAAACTTGCTGTTCTCTGTTTTGATGAAATGGCTGTCTCTTCGGAAGTAAATTTTGATGGTAAATTGGAAAAATTGGTCGGCCCACATGGAAAAGTGCAGGTCATCATGGTTCGCGGTTTGTTCAGCAACTGGAAGCAACCCATTTATTATAAATTTGATCAGCCCATGAACAAGTCTATTCTGCTTGAGGCCATTACACTCTGCCACAATGCTGGTTATCAAGTCCTTGTCGTAGTTTCTGACTTGGGTAACCGAGGAGTCTGGAAGGAGTTGGACATTCATCCCAACAATTACTTTTTCCATCACCCTGTGAATGAAGAGGAAAAAGTATTCGTTTTTGCAGATGTTCACATCTGTTGAAACTCCTGAGGAATTGGTTCCTTGATGATGGACTATTGCTAGGAGGCAGCAATGAGCTATTCACTCGTGAAATCTTCCAGACACTCGTTGATATGAGCAGAGATGGTGATCTACGTGTCGCTCATCGTTTAACAGATCAATTACTAAATGTTCGGAGCTCGCAACGACAATCTGTTAAACCAGCAGCGAGACTTTGGTCGCATACATCATCTTCAGCGATCCAGTGGGCTGGTGACAATGGGCTGATAAAAAACCCAGAATACGAAAAATTGGCAGATTTTGTGGCGGCAGTGAACAACTGGTTCGATGTGCACAATTCGAAGTCCAAGTATGGAGCGCATCCAGGAGTTAACGCCTTTGGAGTGGACTTAAAGTCGCAAGAGTCAACTTTAGCGTGTATGAGTGTATACATTGAAAACATGCGAGTTGGGTCCAGAAAGGTATTAATGCCTTTCCAAAAAAGAATTCTCGTTAGTAATCGTTCGTTGCGAGGATTGTTTCGTTATCTCCACGAAAAATATCCACAAGAGTGTCACTACATCATAACAAGAAGACTCCAGCAGGACATCCTAGAAAATTTTTTTTCTTACGTAAGGGCGATGGGTGCTACCAAGGATCATCCCTCGGCATACGACTTTAGATACAGGATTCGATGGTACGTTCTCGGTAAGCACACGCACGCTGTGTTTAGCTTGAATAAAAATATTGAAGAAGATATGGATAGTACTTGCATATCTTCTTCCATTGAGGGTACGACAATTCAAAGGGCTAAAGAACTGTCAAGGACTTCAACAACTTCAGTGGCTTCTACGGCAGAAGCAAATATCCTTACGTCAACTCCAGTTCCAGGAATGACACTGCATGCTTCTA